AAAGGGGGCTTTCTGATCAGTCACAAGCGAGAAAACTGGGAGCAAACAAATGCTGTAGACTCTGGAGACTTGCAGCAGCTTGACGTGTTTTTGGAGCAATCTGTATATAACACAGGGAGAAAGCTGCCACAACAAACCTGATGAAAGCAGCAAGACAACAGTGATAATGTAGCAGTAATGTAATTTTGTATTACTAATTTCAAAGAGGTGCCTCAAGGACACAATAGAAAGTGACTCAAGCTTTCAAACTATTCGAAAAAAAAGACATTTAATGAGCAACAATCATTAAACAGCTTATGGCTAAACATCAATTTTCACTGGATTCCAATATTATGAAAAACAAAATCACATGACCTGAAGGGATTGTCAGATATTGGATTGTAATCTTTTTCAAAAACAGTCTGATTATGACTAATTTCATCCCGTGGATGGCTCACAAATAGGTGGCACAGACACAAGCAAAGTCTTTTTTCAGGTTGAGAGCCACAGTAGCAGATGGGTGGAGACTTGACATCAGCAGGGTCATCCTGACAGTAGAACAATGTGTGCTGTCTTGTGTGTCCAGCTCCTCACCCCCGCTGAATGGGAATTAGTGCTGGAGAGAAAGCAGGCCACCCTCGCTAACCGTCCTCATTGGCTGTGGCATCCCATTTGCCTTATCTCTTGCTCCGTTGTCATCAGGAAACCACCGCAAATTGCTCAAGATTAAAGGTTTATTTTCACCTTTGATAACAGAGAGAGAGAACGGAGGCAAGTGGGAGAGGTGACAAAGATCCAAGACAGGACCATGGCTAAGACTGCTTTTTTTTTTTTAAGATGAACCATTATACTTCAGCCTTTTTAGCGACATGGATGTAAGGATGGCAGTGTCATGTAGTCGGTCTGACAGTTTTAGGTTCAAATAGCTCTACAGTCACTACAGTTCCATGCCTGGATGGAAGGGAAATTTGAGATGTTCATGGTTTCCAGATGATGTATCCTGATGACTTTGGTGATCCACTGACTTTTCCTCCAGCACCACCATGAAGTTGATGTTTGTGTTCAACTATTTTAAAAGACATTGACACTCCCTTGCGGAGGAATTCTAATCACCTCTGACATCTTAATGCCTCCCTCTGGTTAGATTTAAGTTTTTAAAATCTTGCTAACGTGTCCACGAGTGAAATAATTTGTCAGCGCCAAAAACCTTCTGTATCACTAGTCCTCATTAGAATTTGATTCTGGTTCAAACCTGTATGACTAAATTACTCCAATATCACAACTTGCCATTGTGGTGCACTGAGTTGCTGGAGAGCTGGTGTGCTTGAGCTGCAGCTAATAAGGATGGGTGCATGCACAGAGACGGCAAGGACTCATAGATCCACACATTCTAAAGGAAACAGCGGTGTAGAGTTACTTCTAAGGGTGTATGTCCACAATTTCCAACATTTATGGGCGTACGACAGGGTAGCGTCACGATTGATTATGAAACTCCTTCAGTCGCACAAACACTGGCTGCACCTAATTGGACGAATACTTGTTGGCTGTCTGCTCCTGGGTTTCCAACGAGACCAACATGGCCTCTCTTTTGAAAATTTTACTTATGTAACAAAAACAGTTCCCCAAAATGTCACTCTGAAAACATTTGAGGTGAGAAATAATCCATGCTGTTGCGGAATCTGTCAACATTTTAGCTCAACAATGACTAGTTTAGAAGCTAGGAAGTAGCCTGGACCTCAACCTTACGCAAACAAGCAGCATCCAACATGACGTACCACACCTTGGAAATGCTACACGCTGCTAGCAGAATGCACTAGACGGCTAGTTACATAGGAAATGAATGGAAAATGTGGGAACAATCAATCCTGTGGGCAAAGGATATAAATAAAGAAAGAAGAAATATAAAGAAATACAGGTAGGAATGGATTGTATCAACGTAAAAAAACTTCTAAATATGTAACTTTGGTAAACAAAGATGAGTTTTTGGTGGTTTGATTAATAACTATTGGGACTTCATGCGGGGCGACTATCGAGTTGATAATTACATTTGCTCATTACTTTGGTTTGGGGCTGCATCTGCAAAACTAATGACATTCTCATTAGGTGGAGCTTTACTTTATGTTTAGTGCCATTTATACCTATAAATCCTATTAGTGTTTTCATTCTGAGCTTGTTAGAATGATGTTGTTAGTATTTAGCTCACTGCAGCACTCTGCCCAGAGGTAGCCTCACATATCTGCTCATCTGGCTGCAGAGTCTTGTGTAAGTCTTGCATGCAAATAGAATTTAGAACAGAAGAAGTGACATTTTATTGAAATCCTTAAAAAATCTATTTTTTAATTTCCTGAAAAGCAACTTTCGGTGTTCATGTGATTGATGAGTATGCTCTCTCAGAAGGAAAGTCGGTGGGTTTTACAACGCCACAAAGCAGATATGATACAGTTTCTAACCTCGTAGGCTTTGACCACAGTTTACATCACTTCTCTTATCAGCATTCATTATTGGTCGGGTCTGACCAGCTTTCGATATTCACAACTGGTTTCAGGTGGCTGAATTTAACCAAACACTCACTTCCTTCCCCTTCCTGCCAGCAGCGCTGCTCATAGGTCGTCTAGCAGGTTCTCTGTATGTGCAATGCAGGCGAACTAATTGTTGCACAATTATAAGCATGTGTTGAACTGTAATTAATAATTAAATCGATGGAAGGCTGCAATATTTACCAGGAGAAAAATCTAATCTCCCGTACAAAATCGAACACGCAGTCAGCTTCTAATCACGGCAGGAGTTGAAAACAACTTCCTAATGAATTCAGACCCCTCAGAGTGACAGCTCTCTTGCATGAATGAATGTAATTATGGGCTGTACATAACACAGATAGGCACTCACTGAGATTATTCCCAGGCTCTGGTGTGCACACTGTGAACAACACTGCATGGCGCTTGTATGCAAATACACCTCACAGCACTGCCAAATATAGGCTGCATCTCACCGAGATATTTGCGGCTTGGGTGGGAAGGCGATTAAAAAAAATAACCGAAAATAGAAGTCTGGGAGTGCGAAGGGGATTTGTTCCCACACATATGAACAGAAAAGGGTGCGTCTGTAGTGTTATATCTCACTTTTACATGCCATAAATATGTCATGTTTAATTTAACTACACTTCCAAGCTAATATAACCTACTTCGTGTGACACAGAATCAACAGCGCACATTAAATCAGCCAGAAGATGAAAGAGTAAGATGCATTTTTATGTGACCAATGCAGTTGAAGCAATTGCTCAATCATTTTTCAACCCTCTCTCTCTCTCCCCAGCCTCACATCTATACCTTTTTCATCCTTTTCCTTTCCATCCATGTCTTACCTCCCTCCCTCTCTATCTTTCTCTGTAGTTATTCTATTTCACAATTTGTCATGCTGCAGCGATAGACTGAGGCAACGGGCACTATGCTGGTGCCTGTGAGCCGAGCCTCTCAGGGGTTGAGATAAAGCTAAGCTGACATGTGGGTTCGGCTGCATTACAGTGTCCTTTGAAACAATCTCAGTTAAAAAAAAGAAAAAAAAAAAAGGGGAGAAAAGGGAAGGCAAGGCATGTTCCTCCAGAGGTGGCCCCCTTTACACTTCACCTCTCGGCTCCTCTTGGCATGCAGCTGCTGGCTTTTGCCTTGGGCTGCTTCTTCAAACAAAGCTATCTTCATGTTGCAAACCTCACGCGGAGCCAATGAAATAGCATGTTTAGCCTGAGGGCGAGGAATAAAAAAAAAAATAAAAAAGCGCAAAAATCATCCAACTCGGCAATATGTTGATTTGATAAGCTTGAGGTTCTGATTTCTCCAGAATTTCAACATTGCCACTATGAAATGTCAGTGCGCAGGCAGATTCGAAGCCACTGAGCTACTTCTTATTCACATAAGAAACATAATCCTCATTTCACATACACTCACAGGTGTTCCAGAGGAAAGCTTCTTTAAGAAAAGCACTCCACCGCTCTGGTTGGAAGAAGACAAATCCATCTCTCTCTCGTCTTTCTTCCCCCCGCACAGTCTTTTCTTTCCCCTCGTGCCCATCCCCCTCCGTGAACTGAAGAGTGGAGTGCCCTGGTAAATAATTGAGGCATATTCCCCCTTCTGCTACTGTAGCTTCCCCCGGTTAATGTTTTGATTTGTATTTATTTATTTCATCTTTTTTTTTTTTTTGCAACCAACATTTGGTTTGATTCTGATCTGGGATTAAAAAGTGGCACAAGTATAGATAGAAAAATGATGAAATATTAATGGCTGATGCTGCATGTAGTTCATGAACCAGTGCCGAGGGAATCTCAGCGATGGGAACAAATTTTTAAAAATGCAAAACTTTTTTTTTTTTTTAAACACACCAGCATGTAATTATCATTTACATTTTCTGTTTAAAATCTGTTGTTTCCCAGTTAAATGGGTTTCTCAACCCAATCGGGCACTATATATGGCCAATGCTAAATACATAGTACAATACATGCAGCACTAAATGGTACAAATGATGCATCACGTCACTGCCTGTGAGTGTGAAAGACATCAGTGTTATCAAGTTTCCATCTCTAATGCAAGCTGATCCTTTTCAGTTGGATCAAACAAATGAATTCCATCATTGACCTGCATACTTCCATAAAGCAGATGTGATTTAAAAAACAAACATTGTACAGAAATGCCTCATGACGCCAATCATTCCTGAAAATGTGAGCTCTAATCTGACATAATTCCCGAAGCTGCAACGGCAGAAAATCCGAGCTCACCCAGGCGAGCGCTATCGTGAGGTGTTTGCTGACATCTGCTGTCTCGAAGCATGAACTCACTCTTCTAGAAATGACTTGTACTGACAACAACAAAGAACACTCATTGAATTAGGTGTGTTGATTCAGAACAAGTAGGTGCGGCCTGTCAATATATTGTCAGCCTTCTTTTCAGGTGGTTTCGACACACAAAATAGAAAAACTTCTGCACTGTAATGATGCACATACCTCATAAAAAACACAAGTAGACTACTGGAGGTTTACCTTGACCATGTTTTTATAAATATCTGTATATTTCCCATCCTTCCATACAGATCAGAAACATAATTTAATTAAAACTGATATCAAGAGACGAGACAGACAACAACTACGCATCACACATAGCTCACTCATGTCCACCGATCAAAAGTCAAACTTACATATAAAAAAAGATTTCAAACGAGACATAAAGGCATAAAGGCTAAAATGGTAAAAGCCTGAGATTAAAAAATCGTCGTACCCACGAGAAGATAGAAACATAAACCCCAATTCCAAAACCTAAAAAGTAAACCCACATGGATATGTGTGAACTCCAGGTCAAGCTTTCTTCATCTACAGTGTTTCAAACTATTTAAGGTGATGGTGGTAAGAGCAACAAGACTAAATATTATTTTTTTAACCTTTGTCTTTTCTTTTTTTTTTTTAAAACAAGGAAGGTTTTCAGCAGCATCTGGACTTAGCTAATTCTTCATCTTGTTTGATGTTTAAACATATAGTGTGCCTAAATTATAGAATACATTCATATTGCATTAGCCATCTGTATTTCTAGTCTTACCTGTCAAAATAATATCATTCTTAAATGTGCAATTTAGCATGCAGCAATGGCACTGGTATAGAAATAAAATTCTGGGAAGCTAAAAATAGTTCCAGTGATACAACTTACAATCATAACGGAAGCTTTTCTGTAACACGATGTGCTCTTCATCTTTTGTTATGCAAACTAGCTTGACAGTTACTTATTCTCTGGTAATGAGGTCTGAGCTTGAAGGCTCTGAACTAGGATCTTGCATCTCTGGGTTACTTGTAACACTTAGGCTCTCTGTGGTAGCTTCAAGGCCAGTACTGTCATGTGCAGATGCGTTGGTGGTCAGATCTACATCACAGCCCTGCTCAGATTCCTGAATGTCTGGTTTTTCTTCCCTCTCTGGAGATGAAGGTCTTTGGTCAACAGATGAATTATCTGAAAAATAATAATAATACATGTAGTTGAAGCCCAAGGATGCAGTTACACTTTCATGATGAATTCAGTGTACTTTTTTTGCAAATTTCTTTTTTAACCTTCCCCTAATTATTATTTGTTTGACTACACAGGCAAATGTTGCCATTAAACTGTCTGTGAGTTTAAACCTACACTCAGATTACCTCGCTTCATTCCATACAGCCATGATGATTAGTGATGAGCACGACTAACCAACACCAGCCTCATAAAATGCTTAAGCCCTGTGTCTTAATTGCAAACATCTATATAAAAAATTATGCTTTCTATATTTGGGAGGGCTTGTTCTATTCTGCAGTATCAGAAACTAATGGACCAACTAAGGGATAAAATGGACCCAAATTGCAAGGCGTGTCAACAATGGCCGGCTTTAATTGTTCTCATTTTTCTTTTCGTGTTGGACGGCATTATCAACCCATAATTGCTTTATTCAGCCACACAATTTAATCATGTGCGAAATACTTACCCAGGCTACACTGATCGCCCGAGTCATCTCCATAATTAGCAAACATGGAGGTGTGGCCCTCGCCATTAGTGGAAACGGCATCTGACAAATCTGAAGTCATCACTTCGGGTGTGTTGGAAATATCTGAAAATAGCACAGAAGAAAAGGCTCATTATTTTGCGTGAAGTGACTCAATATGTCAATTAGATTAATGTGTCTTCAGATAAGATTGGTTACCTGGGTTTGCAGCCTGCTGTGTGGGTGAGCTCACACTCAGCTCCTGCATACCTCCTTCGATTTGATTCAAGTCTGTTTCAGTAGGTGGACTACATTCAGCCACAGAAGGCACCTGAAGATAAAGAACACAAGATTACATAAAGTCTCTACCAAAGGACATTTAAAACAAACAAAAAAAGATTGACTGTACCTCAGTGCGTTCAACTGCAACTTGTTCTTCACTGCTACTACTGACCGTCGGGGGAAGAACACTTTTATTCTGGATGTTAAGCTGCACTGGACGCGTTGGAATCCTGTGCAAGTAGCCATAGCCAATGCCGCAGCCTAAGCTAAAATGTAGCACACAGAACACATGGATATTTCAATTCAGGTTTATTCCATTTGTGAGCATACTAGTGACATGATGGTTAACTGTATATGAAAGGACACCTCAAGTTTGGCATTTGATCATTGCTATCTTACTCTTTTGAAATGTAATGAGAGGAGGGTGGATCTGACTGGACAACCCAAGGACAGTATCTACACTCATATGCTAGCGATTGGTCGATCACAAGGTAATCGTGCCATAAAACATGTCCTGCTTTATTTTACTCTAAATGGAACCACATCTTACAAAATGAACATCATGCTGTAATGAAGGAGGCATGAAACCAGCGATTTAAAGCATAAACTGATCAGAAAAATGTTTACTGAGGTGACAAATCAGGTGAGAAGAGGAATAACTTTCTCATTGTCTTCAGAATTATTTCTGCAAGGAGAGGTGTTGCCCCCTGCTGGTCACTATAAAGAACACAGGTTTAAAGCACTTTGACATAACTGCCTCTATCTTGAACACACAGCCTCTGACACATTAAGCCACAGCAATATGTTGTTGCTATGATGTACTTTAATTTGAAAAGAAAATAAATAAGCTGACCTTCCCTCTCCTCCCCATGCTCCGTTGGGAGTCACCACAATCTCTCTGCACTGCTCAGTCTGTATGTTATACACCAGCAGTTTCAAAGGTTTCCCCTCACTGGCTTCAATCAAAGAAAAGAAGTCCTCTGACTGCAGGGGTGACACAAAAAGAGTTCTGTCAGTGTATGCTTTTTTTTTCTTCTTAAATATTAAATTAGAATTTTAATTAAATGAAGAATGCAAGAAAGCTCACATCTTGTAACACCTGGTCAGCACCGACAATAAAGTCATCATGTGCGTTAAGGCCGGCGAGTGCTGCGGGAGAATTTGCTTCTACATCCTACAAAGGGAAAGAAAGAAGGCATTTTTCTTCAATAGCACTGTCTGAATTAAACTAACATCCAAAATAATATATTAATACATTAACATTTGTCAGAACATTTTATTAACCTACAAGAAATACACAGTTAGCATTACCTTGCAGATTTGGCACAATATTAAGCTCAAAATAAAGGTGCAAAATTGCAAACATGTT